GCGTTCGACTGTGAACGCACTCCTGACCTTGCGGAGTTCTAGTATAGTATAGTATTTCTTTACTGATTGATAATAAAGCAAGTTTTCATCGAAATCGGAAAAAGCATATCAACATTTTTCTGATCTGCAAAGCTGCTTACTGTTTCCACCAAATCGGAATTCTGTACTGAAGTCACTTCAAAAATAGCAAACCATGCATAAATAAAATGGAAGAACTGAAGCTCAAGGCCGCCTTAATGGCCGCCATGTTTAAACTGTGATTGGTTGATTTCTCGAAACTTGTTTTAAGGTCTTTAAAAAAACGGCACATCAGAATTGGCTCAAATTTGGCATAAACATTATTTGATCGATTATCTACAATTCATTATTTTGGTTTTTCGATATTTAGCCTTTTTTTTTTAAATTCAAAAATCATGTTCGCAACCACCAAAACAATTAAATGTGTTGGTGGTTGCATATTTGCATGTTTATCAAGCTTGGATCCGTGAAAAGCATATTTTATTGATAACCACGAAAAACTAAAAAAAGCTAATTGTAGAGATTGTAGATAATATATCAAATAATGTTTATGCCAAAGGATTTTGGAAATTATTGCGGATTTTTTGAGATGACCTTAAAACGAATTTTGAAGGTGAAAACTATTAACTTGTACTAGCAGAATAAGTTAATATTTATAAAGGACTAGCTGAAGGTTTCAGGTTTCCAATAAACAACACAAAACAGCTTCTAACTGAAGACTTCTTTATTAATTAAGTGAAAAATGTAGAGCGCCGAAAACGTAAACAAAGAACGCCTTTTTGACAGACACGACGACTCAATGATTGACATTTGACAAATAAAATTAGGTTATAATCACTCAAGGAGTGCGTTCGAGAACAGGTTAAATTGTTCTAAACTGATACGTGTAAATCAATACTCCCCCTCAATTTAACATTTAAAACAGAAAAATATTCTTCTAAATACTACATTATTCTAATGAAAGTTACTTACTACATAATAAAATTTAACAAAGTTCGTAAGTAAGTAAACAAACACTACACTTCAATTACATTGAGTTTTTCTCTAAAATATAAACATTTGTTCTTATTTAAGGGGTTCGTAAATAAGTCAGCCACTGTTCTTCTGTTGAAATGTAAAATATAGCTATCTGAGAGTTATTTACCAAGTCCCTTAGAAAGTGATGTTTCACATCAATGTGTTTAGTTCTTTTAGATTCTAAAGTTGTTGCCATCTTGATACAAGCCTGATTGTCCTCGAATTTTTTTATAGGATAAACATTTACTTAAATTTAAAATTTCTTTTAAAATTTGTGCAATAAAAATACATTCACAAGCACAAGCAGACAAAGCATAGTATTCCGCTTCTGCACTCGACAAACTGACAACTGACTGTTTCTTTGTTTTCCAAAATATTAGGTTATTATAAAAATTTATAGAACATCCACTAATACTTTTCCTGTCAAAAGAATTATTTGCAAAGTCAGAATCAGCATTTGCTGTTAAAATGGGCTGATCTTTGTCTAGTGATTTAGTGAATTTTAATCCAAAATTTTCTGTTGACTTTAGATATCTAAGAACGTCTTTTAAAAATGTCCAATGTTCCATACTATAATTATTCTGAAACATGCTAAAATACGTACCTAACAGCAAAGCTTATATCAGGCCTACTACCCAGCATGATATACATCAAAGAACCAATAAGTTGCTTGTAGGGAACATTGTTAATCTTTTCATTAGAAAGTTGTAAATTCAAATTTGGTTGTATTGGTATATTTCTAGGTTTTGAATCTTGCATGTTAAAATTTTGAATAACTTTTCTAATTAAATCTTTTTGATTAACCAAAATGCAATTCTCAAATTTAGAAATATTCAAACCCAAAAACTTCATGTGATTCTTGTTTGTCATATCTCTCATTTCAAAAATATCCATTAATTTGTGTTTAATTTTATTTAATTTAAAAACTGAATTAGGAACCAAAATAAGGTCATCAACGTGTACCAATAAGAATAAATTTTTATCAAAATACAAACAAGGATCAGCTTTTGATCTGATAAAACCTATTTCAATTAAATGCTGATTTAATTTATCATACCAACACTTGGGAGCTTGGCGAAGTCCGTACAGAGCTTTTCTGAGTTTGCATACATAGTCCAGTGCAACATCCAAGCCATCTGGAATCTCCATGTAAACTATTTCACTCAAAACACCATTGAGAAATGCACATCTAACATCGAGTTGATGTATGTCCATATTTTCTTGTACACTTAGAGATAGAAGTAAGCGTATTGTAAGCATCCTAGTAACAGGTGAGTATATTTCTTCCTGAATGTCGGTCTGCAGGAAACCTCTTGCAACAAGTCTTGCTTTCTTGATTATCATTCCATCTCTTTCTTTTTCAGTGAAGACCCATTTTGAGTCTATCACTTCCATGTCTTTTTCTCTAAGTACATAGTCCCACGTCTGATTTTTCATATGAGCATCAAGTTCTTCTTTGATTGCAGCTTTCCAACCATTATCTATCTTTATGGCTTCTGAGTATTTTCGTGGTAAACTCGTAGCTGATAAAGCTGCCATAAGCTCAAAATCTTCATCAATGTCTAATTCATAGTCTTGTAATTTTCTTGGAATTTGTCTCTCTCTGTGTGGTCTCTCCATATTATTTAGTTAAACACATCTCGGCGTGTCTTCATATCTGGGTATCTCATTCGATGTGGGTATTTGGTTGGCATTGGGGGTCTGGTTGGCATTGGGTGTCTCTTGAGGTGTCTCAAATACCTATATCAATATTTCAATTTATCACTTCATGAACTCTTTCTTTATCATATTCTGCTCTTGCTGTTTGTTTTTCTAAGATCTTTGACTTTTCCTTTTCTTCAAATACAACATTCCGTGCTATGATAACTTTGTTTTTTTCATTGTCCCATAAGCGATACCCATTGTTAGCGTAACCCACCATCACCATTTTCTGCGATCGGCTATCTAGTTTGCCTTGTCTTTCTTCCTTTGGTATATGCATATATGCGTCACATCCGAAAATTCTTATTTTGCTCAAGTCTGGTTTTGTTTCGTACCAGATTTCAGCTTTTGGGAGGCATGAGGTCTCTGTCCGGTTGTAAAGGTAGACTGCTGTGTTAAGTGCCTCTTCCCAAAATTCTTTTACCAAGTCTGAGTCAAAAATAAGACATCTAGCTTTTTCTAGTATAGTTCGGTTAAAGCGTTCCGCTACGCCATTCTGTTCCGGTGTGTATTTCACAGTATATAGGCACAGAAATGCAATATACTATATTGCATTTCTATGCCTTTATTTGCACAGTACTGCTTAAATTCCTTTTAAAATGTACTCTCCACCACCATCACACCTAATTCTTTCTATTTTCAAATCAAATTTTGCATTTATCATTGCCATATAGATCTTAAACTTATCAAAAACTTCTGATTTTGCTTTAATAGCGAAACAGACAGCAAAATGTGAAAAGTGGTCGATAAATGATACAAAATATTTCTTACCGGAATGGCTTTCTGGTGTTATTGATCCACATACATCTGTCGATATGACTTGCAAGAGTCTCTTGGCCTTTTTGTCTTCATCAATCGACTTATGGGGAAATTTGGTTTGTTTACCTTGCAGGCATGTCTCACATAACTCAACACTAGGAAACTTCGAAGAATGTCCCATACGTCTGTGCCATAAATTCATCTCACTAGTAGTCAGAGTAGCTACACTACTGTTTCTTTTGAATTCAACAAGGTTTCCTTTAGCTGTTCCTTGTAATACTGTATCCTTATTTTTCTGTATATTTACTTGTCCGTTTTCAAATAGAACTGTGAGGCCTCTTTCTTCCATTTTTTTAACAGAAAGTAGATTATGTGACAGATTGCTACACATGATAACATTTTCCATTATAATCTGCTTACCTTTTAAAGGTTTTCTAGTCTCAATTTTCCTCTTTTTGTAGCAACAATGGCTTCACCAACTTTGGCAACACTAATTTTATGCGTATAATAAATAGAGCGCATATATGTATTATTAAATTTTGAATAAACATTATGTCACTGAAGTTGGCTTCTCTGACATTGTGCGACAGAAACACAGTTCAGCTGAACATTTATTTTATTCTTTTATTTTACAAAAAAATAAATATTTAGAACAAAAAGAGAAAAAAGATCTTTTGTATTTTGGACTTTTCATATTTTCGACATTATGCATTTTCGAAATTTCTCAATTTCCTTTTGTACCTATCTTATTATTTCAATTTTTTTTAGCTCACACTCCATAAAATAGTTAGTACCTATTAAAGGTCCATCGGGTAGTTTCAAAGACATTGGTAGTTCTATCTAACACAATAATTATTATGCCATTGTTTTAGTTGAAATTTTCATATACCTAAATAAAATTCTCATCTTTTATCTTCCCTTCCTTTGAATAAAAAACATTTTATTGATAATTAGTATCAATAAAATGCTTGTAACATACAGTCACATGAAGTGCCAACGTCTTGTTGCGATGCTCATATTTTGCTAACGCTTCACGGCACAGGGCACGAATCTAGCCGAATATCAGTTGCGTTGGCAAAAAATGAATATGCCACCCGTTCCGTCTCCGTCCCGCATCCGAAGAAAGCGAACTTTTAAGAAACTATAATCAATACAGGAACTAACCTAAACATACGTGAAGCTGAAGCTTAAAAAAGATTAATTTCTTCTGATACATATGAGCAATCCACTCCCATAATTATGAATTCACTTCTAAAATTCAGTATTATTTCAGGATCAGATTCTGTTCAACAAAACATAATTTTCATCACACGGATACAAAAAAAAAAGAAAAAAGAACCAAAGAAAAAAGCAAGAGTGTTAAGCAAAATATGTGCATTGTGCAAGCCTTTGTAGATGAAACAAACACTTTGTCTAATATATTATAAGGAATCAAACCTAAATCCACAATCAATAACGTTTAAACAGAAATAAAACAATGTTTGTTTTTTTAATTATTGATTGGTTTATGAATTGACAATCACCTCTACAGTGAGCAGCAATAAAGTTATCTTGAGAAAGTCTATAAACTGGAGGAACAACTCTAGAAACATGTTATGTTTATTAGTTTTGTCATCATCTATTGGTAGTTCCGGTATATTTTCATCGTCAAATTGTGCCAGTGGTGCAGACTCAAACGTGTCTCTATTAGGTCGAATTTCGTCTGATTTTTTTGAATACCTAGGCAACAGAGAATTTGAATCATCCTTTTTCAAATTATTAATTTTTTCACCGTCCTGCGAAGGCAGCACTTGATCTTTTTTCACTCCGATGTCCTCTTCGGAACAATTCTCTCCTTCAATAATTTCACGGCTGCTGACAGCCAATCCCATGTCCCTTGTAGGTACATTCAGTTTTTTTGTTAGGTCTAACACAGCTTCGTTCCACTCTACGATTTTGATATTGCCAGAAGTGGGAAATTTAGGCATTTTCAATTTTGCCCCTAGCAGAAAAAAATATCTTTGAAATTTGAAAGATTTTTTTGACACATTCATAATAAACTGGTTACGCCAAAGTATAAAATACTGTGGTATGAATACGTTCTGTTTCAGGTGATAATTACGGCTGAGGTGGGTGCATTATTGGGAAAGATGATTAAGATCTCTGATTAATAGAGACTGCTGTTTGGTCTGTTGCATTACTTACATTAAAATTACCATATCTGTGGACCAATTCTTGAAAAATATTACCATTTTCGTTTTCACATTTCAACTCCTCTTTTTCTACTCCATTATCAAGCTGCCCGCTTTTCCATTTGTTTTCGTTGAAAATAAATTGCGAGTTTTACCGTTTTTCTATAGTTGAAAAGTTTTTGGTATTTTTCAGAACTGTCGGAACTCGGAATTGAGTAGTTGAAGACCCATCAATATACCCTTAACTCTTCTCCAACTTAACTCCAAATTAACGAAGTGAACGTGCGTGATTTTGAGGCTGTGAGGAGTTAATTCTTCATTCATTGACATAAAATATGTTTTGTTTGTTATGCTCTATTGAGGAACATAGAGCATAACAAAACATATATAGCACAGGGAGACGCAAAAAGGATCGAATACCATAAAGCGATCATACACTAGAGGCGACCATAAGAGACTATAGATCTGTTCGTACAGCAATCACAAACCAGTCAGCGCGAATTTCATTGGTTGCAAAATGTATGTGGTTGCAAACAGTCAGAAAACTAGTTTCAACCAATAAAATTTACTCTGACTGATTTGTGATTTCTGTGCGAACAGACCTTGAATTTTGCAGTTGTGAAGTGGTGTATGCATATACAGGATGTTCCACCGGCGGGAACCAAATTGATCTATACCTAAATGGAAAACTGTATGCAGAAAATTTTTGAAAATTTAACAGTGAGTAAATTTTCAAAAGTGGGGGCAACCCGGCTAAAATATTTTCAAGATTGTGGCTCTTCCGGTTATACCGGAGGTAGACGTCAACTTGCTTATTTTAAATGAGACACTCTATATGTGATTGCATATTTGGATTCTACGTAAAATTCTGAGCATATTTTATGTGATATAGGTACTCTATACGTAAGCTCTGTTTTGGATATATTGACAGTTGAAAATTGACTTTTTGTAAGTTTGACAGGCTGTAATACCTAAACGGTTCATTTTAGAGGAAAACTGATTTTACATTCCTGTCTTAGATTTTCATAAACTATTATTTGACACCAATTTTGAATTTACCCGGAAATTAAATTTAATTGGAATTTTTTATCATTTACCACAGATCACCTAATACAGATGCGTAAGTACGTATACTTGCCGTCGACGATATTCTGTGACGAAGCCGGGCTGCCAGCAACCCCACGCATAGATAAAGATCGCCCGCGTCAGGAAAATTAACGTGGCCGAGTGCGCGAGCGTGTTCCAGCCTGTGTGTTTACATTTTTTTGCGGGTAGAAAAAAATATTTTACAGATATTTGACTGGTAGTAGAAAAAAATTTGTATGCAATACGTGCGGAAAGCACCTTTTTTCACTCATGTGATTGTCGCACTCACCTTCGGCTCGTGCGTCAAAATTCACATTCGTGAAAAAAGGTTCATTTTACACACTTGTTGCATAAATAACTATTTTTGCTGTTTGTGAACCAATTAAAGAAATAATATTATATTATTGAGCTTTCGCATTTATATCATAAATATTTTCAAAATACATTGATGCGGCATTGGTGCGGCCAGCCTATGTCTATCAAATTAATCTTGAACCACGAATTCGCCGCTCTTTCGCATCTGTATGTAGGTAATCTGTGCATTTACAGCCTATCAAAGTTGCAAAAAGTCAATTTTCAACTGTCAATATTTCCAAAACAGTTGTACTTAGGTATAGGGTATATCACTTGAAATCTGCTCAGAATTTTATGTAGAATCCAAATATGCAATCACATACAGGGTGTCTCATTTAAAATAAGCAAGTTGACGTCTACTTCCGGTATCACCGGAGAATCTACCATCTTGAAAATATTTTAACCGGATTGCCCCCATTGACATTAGTATACTATCAAATTTTCAAAAATTTTCTGCATTTCTGCAAATTATCATATACAGGGTGTCCACTTAGTGCGATATCGGACGATATCTCCTTACAGGGTGATGCAAGAAAAAAAATTTAAATTACAAAGTTGTTTGATACTCTAATATCCATTAGTTAAAAATATTTTTGAATATACAGGGTGCTCCGTTTATGGGGTATGCGATAGAACTTTGTTAGTTTAAATGGGACACCCTGTATATGATTGCATATTTGGATTCTACATCAAATTCTGAGCAGATTTCATATATTATACCCTATACCTAAGTTCAACTGTTTTGGAAATATTGACAGTTGAAAATTGACTTTTTGTAACTTTGACAGGCTATAAAACCTAAACGGTTAATTTTAGACGAAAACCGATTTTACATATCTTAGATTTTTATAAACTATTATTTGACATCAACTTTGAAATTAATCCATGATTAAAAATTCCAGTTAAATTTAATCTCCGGTTAGGTATAGGGCATATCACATGAAATCTGTTCAGAATTTTACTTAGAATCCAAATATGCAATCACATACAGGGTGTTCCATTTGAAATAACAAAGTTTTGTCACATACAACATAAACGAAGCACCCTGTATATTCAAAAATATTTTTAACTAATGCATATTAGAGTATCAAACAACTTTGTAATTTAAATTTTTTTTCTTGCATCACCCTGTAAGGAGATATCGTCCGATATCGCACTAAGTGGACACCCTGTATAGATCGATTTGGTTCCCGGTGGGACACCTTGTATAGAGTGTATTTTCATTGTAAAATTGTAAAAATGTTAGGCTTTGAAAAGGTAAAATGTAAAAGCTGAATTCCAAAGCCAGGACTATGGTATTGAATATTATGTTATCATATACATTATGCATTAAGATGCCTCCAAGTACCGGGTGATCATGGGCGCCGCCAGGATTAGTTTCAGGGAGGTGCATACGGGCAGTGGCGGCGTGTGGATTGTTATATTGGTTCAAATTACTAATTTAAGGAGGTGAATGTCCGACGCAGGAGCGAAAATTTTTCCGGGTGCTACGCCCAAAAACGGTTATTATGAGCTTTCAGAAATAGTATATTAAAGTATAAGTGGATATTAAGGACCAGTTATCCACGAATACTTTACACTATTTTTTTTTATTGGTATACGTTCAAATCATAAATTACTAATAATAATTGTAGAAGCTAAACTTGTGCTTGACACTTGTTACATTTTATTTGACGTTATCTACAAGTACCTAACCTACTCCTGACAAATCAATAATTAAAAAGTTGACATTTAGACAGGGTGCCACGCCATGATGTCAATTTTATTTCTACGTAAAAATACGGTTTTGGACAGGCGGTCTAGGGGGGGGCCTGAACCGATGCCTCACCCTAGGTGCGCCACTGCCCTTGTGTGTCACGTGTCACGTAAAAAGTTAGGAAAATAAAAATGCGGCCTGGAAATAGTGGTAATCAAATCACAATATATGGACTGTTGGGTCAGTCTGTGTTTCTCGGAATTATGGTCGGATATATTCGGAAGCGTTGCCAGATGCTCTCAACCACAGAAATCAATATTATTAGGCATGGGCGGTATGGTGAAGGATATTTTAGAAGATAGGAATTGATTCCTTATTGAATGAAGCTCAATTAAAATATTATATTTGTTTTGCATGTATGACATTTTTTTCTACATATTCGAAATTTAATTTTCCGCAGCATCGTGGGGCCGTTTTGGACCGTGGGCCCCTGGGCGGTGCACCGAATTGCCCGGTGATATGTCCGCCCCTGGGCATGACAGGTTTCTCGCAATTTAATACTTTTTTCGGGCTATCAAATCGCAGAAGTTAAAGAAATTTATATCAATAAACTATAATTTGAGTAAATTCGAAATTCCCGCCATTTTACAGGTTGATTGCGCGCGAAATAAAAATAAAATAACCCGATCCGAGCCGGAAGTGAGCCGAGGAATGTCGCGGGGAACAAAGAGTGTGCGAGGAGGCCATAGTTTCTCGTTTCGCCAATTTTTTCAAACAGTAACTATTGAAAAAAAAATATAATAAAATAAATAGTTAGGTATTTATGCAACAAGTGTGTAAAGTGAACCTTTTCAGTGTTGACATCTGTCATTGACATTACTTTACGCACTAGTGTGTGAAGTGAATTACTTTACGCACTAGTACGTGAAGTGAAATTTTACGTCGTCTAAATAATGCGTAAAGTGAATACTTTACGCATGATAGTAGAAAAAATAATTTTTTCAATGTATTTCTGACAGGGGGGTGCAAGTGCACCCCCTTGCACCCCGCTGCCGGCGCCCATGCGGGTGATTGTCTATATTTTGCACCCACACCTTTCTCACCTGTTTGAAGAGATACTCAGAAATGTCAAATGTGAAAGTTGTAGGTAATATCAGAAACTTTGCAATGAAGTTGGTTACAAGTATACAGGGTATCAAAAAAGTGTGGCGAAGCAAAGTTATACTTTCTTAAATGGAATATTCCGTATATTATTGATCTACTGGCAGTGGCGACGCGTAACTTGCAGTCTGGGGGGGGGGGGTAATGGGAAAATGCGACCTCTCGCTAACGCGCCGCAGGCGATATTTTTTGCAACTTCAATATTATTATGTATTTTCTTTTGGGCCTCGTGATTTTTCCCTTGATTATTGGATCCTGGAGGGGGTAATTACCCCCATTACCCCCCCGACGCGACGCCCCTGTCTACTGGCTTGGCCTTTCAAACCTGATTTCAAATATATTAGATTTTTTAGGTTCATTCCCCATGGTCCAGCCTTTGAATATCCTATTTTGAAAAAATAATATATGGATATTTTACTTGAATGATTACATTTATATTTTGCTGGTGGTCTCTATACTATACACCTTTTTCAATAAAAATGCAATTATTCCACTCCTTTTTTTCTTAATTTCTCTCGGACTGGCGCTGGTACAAAAGAACGCAGGTCAAAAGA